ATATATATATAAATATATATATAATATATATAAAAATATATATATAAAAATATATATATAAAAATATATATATATATATATATAAATAAATATATATAAATACGCACTTTTTTGGCGAAAATCATTAAATAGTTACGATAAACTCAAATTACTATTCGCTGAAAATAAGAAATGATATCACCTTGATTTTTCAATAATATCATTTTGACGTCATTTTGATATTTATATAATTTTTTATTCTACTTGGATGTACTCTTTAAAAAAGTATATTAGGTCACTGTAGCTACAAGAGATTTTTACGCAGATGCAGTCGCGTGAGATAATACTGCGTAAAAATCTCTTGTAGAGAGAGAGAGAGCTAGAGTGACCTAACATACTTTTTTGACGACGACGAGGACTGTTTATTGTAACGAATAATGACTTTATAATCGAGCCACTTGAGTCATCATACTGCATTGCACTGAAAAACTCTCGCGCGAGATCCGCGTGTATGTAGTCATCGCGGATGTATAATAAATTACGCGAATGCCTCCCGACGAGGCATCTCTTGATAATCGTGAATGTTTGTAATCAAGGGAACTCGTCGATTCCCAGCTTCTAGGAATGGCACAACAGCAGAAGCGAATGATAAACACAACCTTTCTCTGCGCCTACGGCGAACGCACGCACTTATATAAAGTTATCTCATTAACAAGAGACGCGCACGTATACAATCGCTGAGAGGATAAGGAATGTTTTCGTGCTGCAACTACGCGATATAGGTCGACACGTGGTCAAACACGTGCCGGCAGGAACGACGGCGATGAATCGAGGAAGTTTACTTTCAATGGGCAGGCGGGATTTTTATTATCAACGATATTATCGATTCGATTCGCAAGTAATTAGTGATTATAATATAATTTTGTATTTTTATTCAATCTACTGCATATAAAGTTGTCTTTTTCATAATGACTAATATATAATAAATGTTTTGAATTGCCCGGATAATGAGGATAATAGAAATTTCCGACAGTTATAAGAATGTATTATGTGTTTTATTCGTAATTGATATAATCAAATAATTGACTGTTATTAAATATTTCAATATGCAATAGAATGCATTTAAATATGTAAAAGAAAATATACGAAAATATATGAAAAGATATATGAGATCTACGAGTAATACGAGTAAATACAAGTTTAAAAAGTTCCTGTATGTTACATTAGAGTATTAATAAGATGGTTCAATTCGGGCAAGCAATGATTCTTTAGTTTCCATCGAAATTTCAATTCACTCCTACAATATAGAGCCAAAGTCGGTAAAAACATTTTCAATTTATTTCGCTCAATTTGTTCATTTTAATTTATAAATTTGTAGAATAGCAGCAAATATCAATCGGTAAAAAAAATAGAAATAGAAATAGATAATTCCAACCTCTGTTACTCATGATTTATAACAATTGCTCTTTATTAATTATTATAATGGAAAATAAACGTAATAAATAATAGCTACTTTTTTGTTCAATTGGGATTGTATTAATTTTTCGAAACCTATTTATTATGTTCAACTCTGTTTATATACATTTTAAAAATCAAAATTTAAGCTGACTCTACTGAAGTATTAATTTTCTTCATTCCTATTCTACTTCCAGTGAAAACGGATTCAAGAATAAGAATGCTGGCGAAAATAAGATGGAAATAAAGAGTTGAGCATAAGTCGAATGTAAAAGAAGAGTGACAAAAGTGTAAATAAAGCTTCTAGGGAGCGTAGGACAGCGAAACGTAAAAGAAATATAAAATGTTTACGAAGCATTTTAATGCTTCTTTTACGTTCTATTGTTTCAATCTACGTTTCCTAGAAGATTTGTTTACACTTTTGTCACTTCTGTCATTCTTCAATTACATCGGCTTACGCTCAAATCTTTATTTACGTCTTATTTTCGCCAGGAAGGGATGGAATATAAGTTATAGAGGCATGTTTGCAGCGAGGAGTTTACGAGGAGTTTTTTACGAGGATATTCATCCTGTAGATTATACACATGAAATGACATAACATATGTATATGAACGCATATATGTGTACATATATATCCGTATGTGTGGAACTCTTTGTGTTACCAACTGTGTTTAGCGCAAATGATATATTACAGACATATCTAACCATATTTGTATAAAGTGATCGAAAAACAAATATGGCGAAGAAACAGTTTCTCGACGACACACACACACACACACACACACACACACGCGCGCGCGCGCGTTAAGTTTTTTTATCCTATTCGTCAAAATTAGGATTTACATTCCTCTAATCCTGCATGGTGGAAACAGTTAAAATTTGATTTATACTGAAATAAAATCCGGATTGAACATTTTAGTGGAAACTCAATGTTCATAAAAGATCATAAGCTAAAATTTGTACATCATATATGTCATCATTATATGATGTACATCATTATATGTTTCATGACATTTGTCTAATATCAGATTAATTTGTTGTCAACATGTCAGATATTTTTACCATAATACTTTTATTGAGCAATGTGTTAATTAGAACTTCAAAATTATAGATCTAACACTATCTGAATATTCTTAATTAGAATTATTAGAATTCGCATATAACGAATAACAGTGAAATCTGTCATCTGCAAATGAATAATATTATAATCGTGTAGCCCTTTTGAAACCGTACTTTT